TGAGCCAGCGCTGTGTTTAGACTAATGCTTCAAGGCGTCACCTGCTTACATAGCCGAGATACCGGGTGCTCATATTATAAGGCAAGGTTATAAAACCATCTTTTAAGATCATTTTAGTGAAAGTTTCATCCTTCAAAGCGTACCATTCACTGCTCAAATACTAAACAACCTGCTTCCATTGAAGATATAAAGGGGGTTCATATTATAAGGTAAGGTTATAAAACCAACTTTTAAGATCATTTTAGTGAAAGTTTCATGTTCCTATCTCATAGAATTTAAGAACAATGATGAATAAATAATTTTCGAGCAAAATTTAAATGGCCGGCTAAATATATTACCGCAGGAGCCGCGGCCGCGGAATTTAAATGACCACGTCAAAGGGCTAATGCAGCAGGAGACTTTTGAGGTGGCTGTTAGCAGCCAGGGACAAATATGTGTGTATTATATAGGGATATGCAAGTATGATATGCTTTCAAGATTACTGGTCCATGAAGGTGAAAAGAATTAGGCAGAGAAGAACAGAACATTTAGTAATATGTTGATTTCTTAACCCTAGGTACAGTAAAATTAGGGCATTGGGAATTCATGCCTCCAGACTTCATATGAACACAATGATTCACCGTGTCAAAAATGATTCAACTGTCACTCCAGTGTATTCTTTCATTGTAGGCATTACTCCGGCCAGGCAGGTTGGATCGTATAGTTTACGTACCGTTGCCAGATGCTAGTACTCGCCAGGAGATCTTAGACATGCAGCTGCATAAGATGCCAGTAGCCCCTGATGTGAATATCAGTGAACTGGTGAGCAGAACTGAGGGATACTCTGGAGCAGAGGTTAGTTCGTTTGATACCAGATATCATCAAGAATGTGTTTATGGAATGTAAGATTTGATGATGTTTTCATGGCAGTGCACTATGAAGAATGCCATCTTCTGGTATATGGAGCTATGTAAATATTATGTAAACCGACGTTTCGGAGGAACATATCGCCTCCATCTTCATGGTATAAAAATCCTTGAGTGAGAAACCAACATGAGCAAGTGGCTGCACAATATTTGCATGGTGGCACATCCCAGAAGATGGTATTCTTCATGTTTGTGGAAGTTGCTGACTTTGGATTGGTTGGTTTGCAGTGTTGCGGCCACTGCTACTGTTATTTGCCATTAAACTAAACGTGGCAGAATGTCTACGAAGGAGTGAGGACTGATGTGGAAGTGGTCATGGCCTAATTCAGGGCCAAGCACCTTAGTCATTTCCCTTTTATGATTCATATGAGGCACGTCTTGAGTGGGGTCAGACTTACTACCACCATCCCAACCTTCTTGGTTGGTCTGAGCATCTGAAACTAGCACCTCCTAAGTACAGGTGTAGACATTTGTCACTGTGCCAGTTGCTTCATATGAGAATATGCTACACTACACTACATCAACTGAATGGTATGAGGATACCAACCAACTGGTGTAGTAGCAACTAGCACCTGAATAAAAGTCTACAGTCTTTTATTCAGAAGGTGCTAGTTTCAGATGATCAGATAGTATCCTGTTCCAGTATACCAGGGCTTCAGAGTAAACAGTTCTTATCTCTAGCTGAAGTTTCCAAACTGAAACCTCCCATCAATCCATTTTGAAACACTTAAATTTCATTGGGGGTATGCAATAGCATAATTGGTTGAGGCACTATGCTACAAGCTAAAGGTCGCCGGTTTGAGTCCCTATGTGGATTTTTTCAATTTACCTAATCCTTCCAGCCGCAACATGGCACTGGGGTCGATTCAGCCTCTAAGAGAAATAAGTAACAGGAATATTCCTGGGGTATAAAGGGCGGCTTGCATATAAGGCTAACAACCTTACCGCCAACTGTGAGTGGACTGTCTAAAGAAAATGTTGGAGCCTCGATGTCTCACAACCCTATGGGCCTTCATGGTCTGTTATGGGGAGAGCTTTACCTTTATATAATAATTTCATTAAATTTGCATGCTATCAACACTGGAACTTGTTTTAGGAAAGGTCAAGACTGCATCTCAAGGGATAGAGACCTCTCACTTCCATTTGGTGATACTATCTGTAACTGCCACTAACTCTGTTACATTGCAGAATAGGGATGATGGCATACAGGCAGGCCTTAGGCCATTATGTATGTGGTATGGATTAATTCTCACTGATTACCGTAAGTAATTGTATTGTTCCACAGAAAATTCTTTTAATTTTTGTGTTACAGCTCCTGCCTTCTTTGCTAGAAGGTGCAGAATATCTGTAAACAGCTTGCATGACTGGGGATTGTTGATTTCAGGTGTTAGCTGTGTGCCATGAGGCAGCGCTTAATGCTTTAGAAGGGAACTTGGATGCAACCAGTATTACACATAACAATTTTATGTCGGCCCTCCAGTTGGTCACACCCCGTACACCATCTTCGCTGCTTCAGTTATATGAGACATATCTGAAGCAGACTTGAGATTTGTAAGTATCTGGAGGAAAATTGTGTCTTAGAATATTTTTGTGGTTTCTCTAGCTTATGAATATGATATTCTTTTTTTATTGCTAGTGGGGTGGGATTAAGTCCCTTGTACTGCAGCCACTTCTGGCCTATTGTACCAGCCCCAGATGATAGGTGAGGGTGATTGTGGAGCATTTGGTGGAATGAAGATTGGCAGGGGAAACCGAAGTGCTCGGAGAAAACCTGCCCCAGCGCCACTTTGTCCACCACAAGTCCCACTTGACCAGACCCAGGATTGAACCTGGGTCTCCGCGGTGGGAAGCTAGTGATTAACTGCTTGAGCTATGGTGCGGCCCATGAATATGATAACCCAATATTTGAGGCATTGTAAGAGCTGGACAACAGATGCACATGCACACAGTATAAAAGACAAACTCAGTCCTGCTCAGCAAACATGCATTGTCTAAACACAGAACACAGCAGGAGAAGACACGCAGCACCACAAAGTAAGTACACAGACATATAATTATCCAGAACAGTAACACACACTGCATACAAAACACTAACAGAGGTTATTAATGAATGTTACAGAAACACAAATACAATACAGTACAATATTCAAATATGTGATGAAGCTATACATTCTACATTAGAAAAAAAAATACAAGCACAACAGTCTCCATGGAGCACTTTTTAAAAACATCTGATGATGACCAGTGATGGTCAAAACATGTAGTGGACAATGTTATTTTTAAATAAGTTTAATTAATGCATTGTATGTATGTGGTAACTTAAAATTTTTAAAAAGTGTTGCATATAATACAGGACATCAGAGATGTCTGTTAATTGATGATAACAGAGTTGCTGTGAATTATAAATGTTGTGATTGGAAAGAAAGCTCTGAAGTTTCAGATTCTGTAATGTCCTCATAGTGAAAATTGTGTCATCTTCATTTCCATTGTCAGGAGTAATAGTTTATGTTAATGTTGGATGTTATCAGTTATGTGACTTGGCACCTGGTAAAACTGTTTTCATTGTCTTAGTCTTGTATAACTTACCCTTATAGAGGGTGTGCCAGATTGTCCTGTGGTGAGGCACTTCTTTTACGCTACTTTCAGTTATACAGTTCAGTAAAGGTGCACATACACACATCTTATGTGATTGTGAGGCCATAGCTTACCTAAGATATCGTCACCTGGGTCAATTCTTCATGGAACCAAGCGACTTTTATGACCCCCCCATAAATAAAGTCATACATTTCATTTGAAATGTAGTATTAATAAAGGTTTAATCCAAAGGGGAAGCACAATAGATCATTGAAGGTCACAGTGCAAGGGCTGGTTTTTATGGCTCACCCCTCGTACTTAAAGGGAGCACATTTGATTTCTGAGACTCGTGTAGGTCATGAGGTGGATGGTGACATATAATGATCTTATTGTGAACATGACTATATTTCATATTCATGAGATTCTGTTACTAAGTCAGTTTGGTGATGGTAATATTTGGAATGCGTTGGTGAAATGTGCTTGTGATACTATGAACTGGATGTATGTTTTGCATCTGTCATAGTATGGTAACCTGACATAAAAGATTGTGTGAGTACAAGGGTTTTAAGGTTTTGTTTTTAAATTGTGGCGTATAATATTGCAGTATTTAATTTTGTAAAACTGTTTCAGCAAACGTTTTTGAATTTGTTGATCCTTGGATTGCTTTGAGATGCTTTAACCCATCAGCAAGGAGTGCAGTGCAGTGCAGATTTAACCCATCAGCAGGTAGTGCAGTGCAGTGCAGATTTAACCCATCAGCAAGGAGTGCAGTGCAGTGCAGATTTAACCCATCAGCAGGGAGTGTAGTGCAGTGCAGTGCAGTTGCTGCCTGCTGCCATGGAGTGCTGTATGACTGCTCATGCCTTGTGCTGCCATATCACAAAGAGTATTTGAGCCCCATGCATTCTGCTTGCATATACTTTGAGATGAAAGTTGATGTTCTTGTTTGGTATATCAACCAGGTGTATGAATTTGTCTTTTTGAGTGAATAACCTTGAAAATGTCAATTATGAACAGCTATTAGCAGACATGATATCAGCTAAGAAACATTTATCCAATGCAAATAATGAAGGTATTGTAAATGAATGGTTCTCATATTATGAAGGCAACAATTTCTTATTCTGTTGACAAAATAACAGATTAATTCCAAGTTGAAGCTTTTCATGGTTTAGGGGTTGGGATTTAAATCCCACTCTTCCCCCCTACCCACGCACACAGAGCATAGTACATGTATTTTTAGTTTTGTGTATTAATGTCAGTTTTATTGACATTATCTTTTGTTGCATAAAAGTGGTAAATATGTAATATCTGGAAACTTCAGTATCGTTACTTGTTAACCAGTCAGGTCGTTATGACATCTGTAGACGTCGTGCAATGCTGTGTATAGTAGTGGCCATAATGTCTATCAATGTTAAGCATGTTTCTAACTGCTCCGTTGTAGATATAATGCCAGTCAGCAGTGGAAACGTTTTTACATTGTGCTTGCAAGATATTCTAGTTACTTCAGAGTGTGACCAATAGTTGTTGATTGCTTGATAGCTGTCCTGGATTCAAGTTCTTTGGACAAAACATTGTGGAAGTTCCTATCAAGAAGATGCGTGTAAGTGATGAGGTGTTTTATGAACTGTTACAAGGGAATGAATACAGTGATATTTCAAAGAGTGAATATAGTAGTGATAGTGAAATAAATGTGAAAATTTTGTTAGGTGGTGAACAAAGTGTCAGCTCTGGTGAAGCAGGAAATGTCAGTAATAACAGTAGCATGCAGCCTGACTTGTGGGCAAATAATAGGTGCTGAGTGACCATGTTTTCCATTCACTGGCAAGCCTGGCATAAATGTTGATTTAGAAGACCCCTCTAACCCCCTGGAATATTTTGAGTTGTTTTGTACACCAGACATTGTGGAAATTATAGCCAGAAAAATCGGTATGCCCAAAACTTTTTAGAAAACATGTGTAAGCTGAAACTAAAATCTAAAACCCGTCACTTGGCTGGTATTGAAAACTACATAATTATAGATAGACTTGAAAGGATTCTGAAGATGGTGTATACTGTACTTCTTTTGGCTTATTTTGGACTTCACCCATCGTCTGGTATATAAAAGACAAAAAAACCAAGACGTTTCAGACCACTGGACCAGTTATTGAGACTAGCTCTTTGTAAGGGGCCCAGCTGAGTAGGTTTATCCTTCCCTATCCACCTGAAGACGGAGACAGATCTAGCCTCCGAAACGTCGTGGTTTTTTTGTCTTTTATATACCAGACGATGGGTGAAGTCCAAAAGAAGTACATAATTATAACGTATACACAGTATCTGCCACTGTGGTTTCAGCAATGTTTCTGTTGGGTGGTTATGATTTAATAGTCTGTAAAAGATAATGGTTTTGCAGTGGATGTTTGGAAGAACAGTACAGCTCATTCATACATACTAGCCATGAGCTTGCCCACATGGTAATAAGAAATTCTGTTTATCAGTGAGGCTTCTACAGTGTTGTAATAAGCATAGCTGGGAGTGTTCTTTTTTTGCTAGAGATTTGTCAGTAAACTACAGTCAACTCTCGATTATCCGGGCTAATGGTGGGGATGGAAGTCACGGTTAATCGAAAACCCGGTTAAGCCAAATTTTATTATACGGGCTGGACGACTGTGAAGGGTCGGAGTTCGAGTCCCGGTAGGGTCAAGAATTTTAACTTCTCCAAATCGTCCAGACCGGCTCTGGGGTCCATCCAACCTCCTATCCAATGGGTACCGGGGGCTCTTTCCCCGGGGGTAAAGCGGCCGGGGCGTGAAGCTGACCACTCACCTCCAACTAGTGCCGAGGTCAAGAAAATTTGGATCTATACATCCACTCCCCCACACGCCTTAATGGCGTAGGGCTTAATTCGTTGAGCAGAGGAACAACTTTACCTTTTACCTTTTAATACCTTCATAATACTATAGACCTACCTGTATTTAAATTTATTCATCCTCATTTCTATGTCATCTCATGGCCTATTTAATACTTTCTTTACATTACACTCAGTATGAATTAGTTATTTCAATCACTGTTCAACAACATCCAGCACTTTTTACGGTCACACTTAACACTTAAAATAATTTAATACTGTCTTTTGCTTTTTCGCGGCATTTTCCTTTTTACGGATATCCGTACGAAGCCTACGTAATATTAGCTTGTCACTTAATAAACTGTCCTCTTCACTCTCAAGATAGTCTAGTAAGGATTCCAAATGATTAAGCGCAGCACCATGTGATACTTTCTTACTGGCAACACTGTCCACCTCTTCCTCATTCTCACTTTCTTCCCGCTCTTCTGGCTGCACCCCCATTGAAGTTACGATTTCGTCACTGCTTAACATTTCGAAGCCCGGTTCACACGAGTCACAGTTAAACCACTCTCTTATATTTTCCTCGTTGACTTCTTCACCACCATGAACTTGGTTAGCCACTTTTGTCAATTTTATGGCTATCTCATTTTCACTGAATCCAGTGAATCCATGGATTTCGTCATCTTCATTAGTGATGAAAGGCATCAGTTTCTTCCATGAATTTTTCAATACAGATGGCTTTACTGTATCCCACGCTGTTGAAATCTCGTATATGGCATCTAATACTGAAAAGGACTTCCAGAAACACGTCAGATCATTGCCTTCATCGATGTACTTTTGTAGCAAATTTGATCTGTAGATTCTCTTCATACTTGAGATAACTCCTTGATCCATTGGTTGGATAAGTGCGGTAACATTAGCGGGAAAATATTTCACAAAAATATTTCCATCATCTGACCTCAGGAGACTTTCGTTAGGATGTGAGGGCGCATTGTCAATGAGGAGCACAGCTTTCTCAGGTAGGCCTTGGGATTTTAGATGGTCACGAACTTGAGGCACGAATTTAAAATCAAACCATTCTTTAAATATCGCTCTATTCATCCAAGCTACTTTCTGGTTAAAATAATGGATAGGCAGACTTGAAGCTACTGTTCCTTTAAAAGAGCGTGGTCTTTTCGCTTTGCCGATAACTACTGGTATTAGTTTGTGTGTTCCTGATGCATTAGAACAGCACAAGACTGTCAATCTCTCCTTACTGGATTTGTGACCTGGAGCCTGTCTTTCATTTTGAAATGCCAATGTTCTGGTTGGCAAGCATTTCCAATAAAGACCCGTTTCATCGGCATTATAGATTTGTTCTGGCAGCAGATTTTCACTTTTCACAAAACTATCAAAATTGGTGCAAAATTGATCTGATGCTGACAAGTCCCCTGACAATTTCTCACCTTGAATACTGATTTCTCGTATTCCATGACGCTGCTTGAAACGTGTTAGCCAACCGGAAGAAGCGTCAAAACTCCCTTCTAGTTCAAGTGCTTCGAAAAAATATTTAGCTTGTTTAGCACAAACTGGTCCTGTTATTGTTGTTCCCTGTGCCCTTAGTTGATTAAACCAGGTCAGCATCGCTTTGTCGAGATCATCGTATGTTGATTTCTTCATGGTTTTTCTCTTCTTCATTCCGCTTGAATTAGAAGACGAAGCAAAGGAAATTAACTCATTCTTTTGTTTTTTCAAATCACGAACAGTTTGTTCTCCAATACCGTATTGCATTGCTAATTGTTTAACTACAGCTCCTTTTTCCAGCTGATTGATAATTTCAAGTTTCTGTTGAATACTTAACACAACACGCTTCCTTTTAAACCCCGACATTTTGCTAACGCACTTGAAGATCTATATTAAGAAACTGATACTTACTTTCACAATGCACTCTCACACTGAGATGGTACCGTTAAATAACCTGGGGCGGTGTATTTGTCCTTGAAACTTTCCAAAAATTCTTGCATTCTTTCACCCCCACCCTAGAACATTGTGTTCGCATAACGGGACGAAATAATGCAGAGCTCGGTTCACACTAGTGCGAAAATAGTGTTAAACTCACCATGTGAAACAAAAGTGAATGAATATTAAACAACATATAAACTTAAAAAAAAAGCCCCGGTTAAGCCGCAAACCGGTTAATCCGCCCCCGGATAATCGAGAGTTGACTGTACTATGATTGTGTTTCATTTCTAAACACCAGATGACCATCAAGACGGTGTATATTGAATGTGCGGAAATGAAAGTCATTGGTGACTATAAAGTCAAAAGTACGAAATTTCACTAAAAGATATATAAACTTTGGTGTAATAGCTGTAGAAATTAAGGTACAAGTGTGTGAAGTCTGATAATTGGTCTGTCAGAGGTTTTTCGTTCAATAAATTTGTAATAACATGATTGAGATATTGCACTTTAAAAAGGGAGCAAAAGTCATAAAATTAAACGCCACAATGACAAATTTGAATGTTCTGGGGTGGGAGAGGTAAGAACACACAAAAGAACCACTTGACTGGTTAACCAAAAAATATTTTTGTGGCTTTCCAGTAAAAGTTGTGAAAATACACATCTATAATGGGAACTTTTTTTTCTTTGTTGAAGTTCGCCCAATCTCAGCTTTCCTGAAGTCTAATGAGTATTAAGGCTTTGTAGTTTAAAATGGTCCAGAGTATTTCAGTAAGGATATTTTTGGGTTTATTTTTATTAAATGCTTTTATATTTTCAAAGAAACTGTTGAGAAACTTCCTTCTGATGGATCTAAATGTAGCGGTGCTAGTTAAACCAATTAACATAACTCACAAATATAAATGGAGTAAGCTACTCAGCAGGACAACGAAAGTATTTGGGATGTTTAAACCAGCAATAGCTGTTAAGTTTTTTACCGATCGAGTGTATGATGCTGTTAAATAGTTTTGTAGAATTACAACGCTGCGTATAGATGGCAGCATGACTGGCAACTGCGAATTGTTTGTGGAATTAATCTGTGCTAAGTAGCTATTGGTAGAAAGTGGAAGAGCAAGGTGCAAGGTGGTTGAAGAGGTTAATGTGTGCTGTATTACGTCGGTGTTTGACAGCTATAGTTAATAAAGTATTGGAGCTGTAAATATGAAAATTGATGTGCAGGTAGATAGCATACATACAAAGAATGCATGAAATGTTATGTACGACTCAACAGTTGCAAGTAATAGTTGAATTTTGAGGTTATATCTCGCACATTTTACATAGCCAAACAGACGCACGATTTCTTCCCCGCAATATAATATTAATAATAATAATATGCATGTGACATTACCATAACAAGGAAGGAAGTAAATATTTGAATACAATTTGATGACTCAGAAGCTGAGCATACTTAACGTGTTAAATGAATTGCATTTTGTTGATTAGAATCCTACGCTTCCGAAAGGAAGCATTAAGAACTGGAGATTTAAAGTACTAGAAGTCTGCAGTGGTAAGGTGAGGCTATAAAAAAGTTAAAGTTGCCCTAGTTTACTTTTGTGCCGAAACATGTAGTGCGGGAGAAAGGACTGAGGTAGATAAATGTATGCACTAAAAACGGTGAAATAAATCATGGACTTAAATCAGTGCAACAGGACGCTAAAATATAACACTATTTAATGTACTTAATTTTTACATTATGGATCAATCTATAAATTCTACAGTACAGTCTTTTAGAAGTATACCATGTTTCTATAGCTGTTCCTTTTGAGAATCAGAGGAAGCCAGGTAGTTCCCTTGACTGATTTGTAATTGTTCAATACCTGCCCTGAGACAGACTCTTATAAACATCTAGATGAATGACCATGTCATTAATGTAACTGATTTAATTGTGGCATTATATTGACCTGAATTCACAGCGCAGGTAAAAGAATATTCCTGAGTTGCCCATATTGGCCTAGGTATGTGGTCAGATGGAAGAATTTTCAAAACTTCTTCTATACATATTCCCCAGGTCTTACCAATTTCTTTTACCGATTTAGGCAGGTAATCAGAATGTTTTTCTCTTATCACTTGCACATTTCAGTGAAACATTTAATTTGTAATATATTGAAAAACTTATAGGAAATTATCTTTTGTCCACTATTTTTACATCTTGGAATGTCATGTTTGTTGTTAATGTTCATTAATATATTGATAAGCTTGTTTTATGCTTCAGGATGGTCTGTGGGATGTTCAAGTAGCCACAGAAAGATTAAAGGATGACATAAACACAGAAGAGCATGGAGTTCAGCTTAAAAGTTTTGACTAAAATGAGTAAGCTATCATAATATTTTCAATATAATTCAACAAAATTCTATTTTGATACTGATATACAGTTTGAAATTAGTTATTTGCAAATAAGACATGGGCCCTGTTCTGACTAAGAAGGAATTTTCCTATTGGGTTGTCTTACACCTGTACAACAGTAAGTTTGTATATGAAATAACCTATCTGATTCCATTCACAGATTTTGTGTTTTTCATGTATTAAATTTTAGATTCTGTGTTGTGGATTACAAAAATTAACTTTTAACTAAATCTTTATATATCTTGCCTCTTAATGATGTATGTTGTATTATTTGTTTTGTGTCTTCTTGAATTTCATTGAAATGGAGTATGAGGCATATGCCTGGTCCCCATGTACATAGTTTAAATTACTAATGTACTTGCCATAACCTTCTCACTAACCCTCGAGGGTCAGGGTGTCATGTACAGGAAAATACAGTGGGTCTGAGATTATTTTTGGAAATGCAAACACCCCAAGGAGAAAGTTATTTCACTCTCACCAGGACACAGCACGGTTACTGTTGCTGCAGAATTGTGTTGGTGAGGTAAAAATCAAGCATGGCTGTCACAAGATAAGCCAAACTTACATGCTAATTGAGAAGATGGGTTAGTTCTGAAAGCCTATCGATGTTCCAGGACTCTTTCATGACCTGAAGTCAGTGAGATAAGTTTCTTGAGCTCCTATTTAATTATAGCACTTCTTCTTTTATATTCAGTCTTGCAGTTAAATATGTAGAGTAACAAGAAGTTCTGGGAAGAAGTAATTGCCTACTTTCCTATGATATGACATGGACTGCATACAAAGCGATGCCTCCAGCAATTCATCACTGATGTTGCCTAGCCATGATAAGGGGATACACAGACCCACAGACTCTCTCTTGATATGACCCTGTAGAGAACGACACCTCCAGCGTTTCTCCTATTGTGGTGTGTATTCATTGCCATGGGAATATTTCAACTGAGCTGTTGCCTAGCAACTATATGCAGGGGTATACGTTCAGACACACACTGATCAAAGGGATTTATGATGTACTCTGCTGAGATGGGCAGATGTGCTATGATATGCATACCAAGTTTCATAAAAATTGGTTCAGGCATTCGGAAGTTGATAAATGGGGATTCACAGACATGAAGGTGATCCCATAAGCCTGCTTTTTTATGTTTTCAAAATAAGGAAAATAGGCTAAAACAATTCATTACTGGCCATTATATGTGGAAAGAATAGGTCAGTGAGATCTGTTTAATTTACAATCTTTATTGCAACAGAAACATAAATCTTTGAGCACTTTACAAATCATTTTCACACCTGTTGCACTCTAAACTTGTACATTCACACAGAAATGAAAACTGAAACATTATTCAAGCATTGACATCTTGGAAATGTGAACAGTTCAGAATGATTCTCCTCTCTGTACATAATTGTTTTGATCTATGTAGTCGAGTTAACAATGATTGTTTTATTATTTGTATAAAGAGAAAAAGTTGTTTCTTGTTAATTATGTGCTATCACAAGCAATTCCAGTAAAATTATGAGAAATTTTTAATGGTGGTATAACAAGTAGTCATCAAGAAATTTTGCAGTCTCAGGCAAGAGATGTATGTAAATATATATACTTCAGAAACATGTAATTAACATTTTATGTAATTGAGGGTCGAGGTTTCCGTGGCAGCAAAGATTCATGTTGTACACTTCTGGGTTATGGCACCACATGGTGTACTAGGCGGATACGAGCATTTATGGGGATCTTAACGACATTACACAGTGTAATAATCCATTATGTCCACAATATGGACTTTGTAATTATTGCATAATACGTCACAGACATTGTATTATGGTGGGTTACATTATCACATGCTATGGAAAGTCACATGCAAAGTTGCCAGAGTCTGTGGGAATCTTGCATGTGGTGTACTGAATTTTTTTATTTTTATGGTCTAGTGGTCAGAGTACCTGGCTACAGATCCAGAGGCCCTGGGTTCGATTCCCGGCGTTATGAGATTTTCTGAGAAGTAGTGGGTCTGGAACGGGGTCCACTCAGTCTCGTGAGGATAATTGAGGAGCTACTTGAACAGGGGTGGCCCATGTATAGGCACTGCGGAACTGCAGCACCCTCAATTTCCACGATATTATCAATAACATTTATATAATGAGTCCTTTTTTCTTTAATTCTTTCTTTATACTTGTACAATACAATATATAATCCTTAAGCTTAATGTCAGTAGCCAAATCTTTGTATGGAACTGTGCACTTCTGGAGCAGCACCTCCACTAATTTTAGCTACAAGCAGCCACTGTACTTGAATGGAAAAGTAGCAGTTCCAGTCTAGAAAACTGAGATTAACGGTCGTGGGAATCTGTTGCGCTGACCACATGACACCCTCTATCCGCTAAAGTTGGCACTAACTTTGCGGACAAGCAGCAGTCGCTCAGTTGGTATAGTTTGCTTGCAGACTAAAAGCCACTGAGTTTTTTTAAAGCAGATGATGTACCGTTGCTTTAATCTGTCTCTGCTGGTTTTTAAATAAAAAAAGTTAATGTTTACATTTGGATTTAAGTGGTCTTGTTTATTTTGCATCACAATAATCATATTTATTTGCTTGTGACAGCAGCATTTAAAGTTATTATACTAGTTTGCCTTGATTCTGAATATTCTCCTATTAGAATTCTTAATAGACTCTCAACTATGAGCATATCCTACATCTGTTGTACTGCATTGTATCAGATCTCACTGCAACTTGAGAGGATGGGCAAAAGATTGAAGTGTTCCAGTTGGAAAGCAACAGCTTATCATCAACAACAGAAGTAAGTCTAATTTATTTTGACCATTTCAGATCATTGTGTTAGAGGTAGGCACAGAGGCCTATAAACCTAACAAAAGAACATAATTTGTATGGGAATGAGGTTATAACTCAGGGTGATTAATTTTCACTTTAATCATTTGCTAAATTTGTTGATTGCTGAAGAGTGGAATGTAATTTGTTAATGAGAATCAGAACCAAATATTTTCTTTCTTTGTTTTTAATAAGGACGAATACTTAATCTGTACAAGAAACATTCTCAACCTGTGAAGTAAATTCGAATATACAAGAAAAAATAATCAGAATTTTAAGTGAGATTTTTCTCTGCTTCTGGCCAAGTTCTATTGCTTCTGCCACAGAATGCTATGTTTTGAAAGAGGCACTGTCGTCATCCATTGTAGCAGCAACCTCTAAGCCTCTTAATGTTTTATCCAGATTGAGTAAAGACCCTGTGTGGAGACATCCCATGTAGCACAGGCTTTGCATGAGGGCAATATTACTTAGTTTTCAGGAATGTAGGCATCAGTTCCATCCACTCCAGTTCCTCCAGAATCTCCCAGCCATGGATAACGAACTGGACATTCACGACAAGTCACGAGGTACCTGAAACATTAGTTCATTGGACTCGAAGAACTAAGTGCCTACTTTCCTCTGAGATGACACAGACCACATAGAAAATTATAAAAGTGTTGGGGGGGGGGCCACAGCAAGGTGATCCATAAGTCAAAAAGTAGAAGGGGGGCGGATACGCAAACAGACGGACACACACCCACAGCAAGATGGTCACATGCATCTTCTTTTTCTTTTTCTTTTTTTTTCAAAATAAGGAAAATAATCTAAAAACAGAAATAGGGTAAAAATTTGGTTTTGTAAGGATTTTCTCTTGCAACTGGCAGATTTGTGAATCCAGCACACACCATTCTCAATACATGCTGGATAATGGGAGCTTAACATGGTTTGCTTTTTCAGTCCTTCATCAGGTGAGCTTGCCTCCTCACATTTTTTGACACATAATATTGTTTCAGTCTTATAAAGTGCAGGTCCATGGCTGATGTGATTACCACTACCACTTTTGTTTTTCCTCCATTGTCCCCTCTTGTTTCTCTCTCTCTCGATCTTAATAAGAAAGTAGACTTAATCCCACCTCTTGAACCTGCCTCAGTCTCTTTAAGATTATAGCTAATTTGAATTTCATTATTTCTGTACATTGCTTATTTAGTTGTGAAACACTAAACTTACCTTGTGGATGAAACGTTAGCTTCTGGGGGTCTGAATGTCAGAGCACAGCTGTTAGGCAGATTGCAGGGGGGAGGTGGGATATTTTGTCTCTTGGCACAGTTCCACGGGTCAAAAGTGTTGATATTCTTAGCTGGCCGTGGGTCTGTCATCCACACCAGTGCTTGTGTGATGGTTACAAACCATACATCTGGCCTGGAACAAGATAGTGTATTGAAATATAGGAATATTAATACAAGATCTTCCCCCTGCTGTGGTAACATGTCCCTTTAAACATTTAAAGGATATTCTACTGCACTTCTGGTTTGAACTATGTAATAACTGTATACTTCATGCAACCGTGATAGCATTGTTGGTATAGCGATTGGCTGTGGGCTAGATGACCAAGGGGTCAGAGTTTGAGTCCCAGTAGGGTCAAGAATTTTCTCTTCTCCAAGTCATTGAGACCAGCTCTGGGGCCCACTCAGCCTCCTATCCAGTGGGTAGTGGGGGCCCTTTTCTCAGGGGTAAAGCGGCCGAGGCATGAAGCTGATCTCTCACCAACTAGTGGTGAGGTGAAGAAAATGTGGATCTATATATCCACTCCTAAATATGCCTTCATGACATAGTGCTTAATTATTTAAGCACATCGACATCTTTACCTTTCTTATTGCCTTTACATATAATCCAGGCCCCAAGTAGTGTATGTTACTTAGGCATAGCTTGTTTATATTTGTTAGTAGCAAAAACACCTGTTCCCTGTCCAAGGTTTTCATAACACATTTATGTCTGATCCCAGTGACTGTTGGGATTGCCTTTTATTCTATGCAGTATGGGCTGAAGAATCACTAAGATCGATGTGGGCAGGGCTTTGGTCGTCTTTTTTAATGAACACCGTGCCGGTGATTGCCCTTGTCTTATGTACTCGTGCTTTGGAGATTATTTCAGTAGTTTTTCCAAGAGAGGGCAGGAACATACAGCATGTCCAAGATTTTTTCAGAAAGAGAAATTGATGGAAAATTTCCCAGTCCATATTGTATAAACAACATGAGGAACTTTTGTTTTAGTTTTATATTAAAACAAGATTAGGCTCAGGTGTTCCTTGCCTGCTAAGTATGGGGGGGGGGGGGGGAANTATCAATTTTTATATTGCCTTTGACATAATTTTGTAAATTTTGTTCATGCAGAACAACACTTCACATTACAATAATTATTTTTTATTTCTTTTCCTGAAAACCTTTCAGATTGATTGATTTATCAATTTATTGAGTAGTTCTTTAATCATTAATTATTTAATGACACTTTATCACCTATATAGGCTATATGTGGAGGGAAGCACCTATGCCTAAATTTGAAACATTCTCCTAATGTTTGAATGGAGCAGCTGTAAAGAAAAAAACAAACCATAGTCATTATAGATTGCTGAGGTGTGAGCGCAGGACCTTCCAGATTTTAATTAGTAATGCTTACCCCTCAGCTATTGTGGCTATTGATGGAAAAGAGGGGCCCAAATAATTTGAATTCTTTATGTCACTGCCATCTGCAACAATTTATTGTCAGTACACATGTGATTCACCTACGTAACTGTTTCTTCTATTTAGGCATGTTGCAGGTACTAAGATGAAGAGGCCGAGGACTGCACTAACTCTGGAAGCAAAGCTTGATATTATTCAGCGACTTGAGAGAGGCCAGACTGCTGCATCGGTTGGACGTTTATATAACGTAAATGAGTCAAGCATACGTACTATAAAGAAGAGTGCAGAAAAAATTAGAAGTGCTATAGCCCAGTCATGCTCAGTAGCTGCAAAGAAGTCGATAAGAGTGAGAAATCCTTTGCTGGAAAAAATGGAAATGATGTTAGTAACATGGATGGAAGATCAGAGGAAAAAGAAAGATGCCCTGAACAGCACTGTTATTCGTGCAAAAGCACTGAAGCTGTACAAACACTTACAGCAAGAAGATGGGGGTTCTTCAGGTACTGAGTCTTTCTTGGCAAGTAAGGGTTGGTTCGAAAACTTCAAGAAGCGGCAAAATCTATATAACACCAAGCTTATAAATGAAGGTTCCAAATCTGTACACATTTGCTCCCCAAATTCCCCAGCTGAAGTGAAAGCTGAAAGTTTTCTGCAGGTAGAACAAGAGGAGGATGAGGAACAACAGACTGTTGTGCCATCAGACGAGCTGACAACAAAGAAGCTGGCCCTCTTCTTCACCCTTGCTGATCGGCTTGCCCAGGAAGCAATGGATATGGACCCAAATCTAGAGCGGAGTTTACAGTTTGGTAGGAATTTGTCATCTGCCTTGGCTGTCTATAAAGATCTCTACAGACTGAAACAGCACGCATTGAAGCATTCCACAGTAACTCAATATTTGAAGACCCCCAGATCTACCACTCTCACTCCAGCAAACACATCATCATATTCCCTGACTTTTGCTAAACTCCCCACTTCCCACACTGGTTCCTCGAAGCCTTTTGGCACTGAAAGCCCACTGCAGAAGTGTTCTCAGTTGCCACTGCTTGCTGGTGGCGACACTGAGTGTAATCCTAACGAACATTCACCACCTTTTTCTTCTTGTAGCAATTAAATTTTCCCTACGTCAAGTACTAGTCTGTTTTGCTGACCACTCACAGATTGTGATATTGTTTTTTTTTTTTATTATATCTCATTTCTCTCAGTTCATGGTCAGAAGACTTATGGTTCAGCAGAAGGGTACCTGAAAGTGTATAAAACATGTCCTTACTTCTCTTGAACAACTGAATTCAAGTTTTTTAGCCATTTTTCAAAATTAATTCACTGCTGTGTTAAAGGAATGACTTTTCTTTTAATATTAATGTCATACAATAACCTTAAAAATGTGTTCAATTTGAATTTTCACAAATTCACAAATTGTATTATATTTTAATGTTATGAGTTTCATATTTTGTATCTGAGCGTTTGTCATGAATGGTCGTTACAGCAAGATCCCCATTTAACGTTTCTTGATTTAAGGTTTTGCTGCATTTAATGTTCAGTTTCAGTGATTCCAAATCAGTAATCTCAGTGTTAAATTACTTTCGTCTGAGATTTTCCTCAGTTTTGTGTCTAAATCCACTTCTTTCAAAAGAAACCTTATTTGGGGTCCTGCTGTGTCATGAACATGTTATTACTTACAGTGTTTCGGTCCAATCGAGAAACTTGTGCAAGCCTCGTTCCAGCTCTTTAATTTGGAACCAGTTCGTATGGAATGGCATCATGTAAGGAGCTCTGTTCTGTAGGTAGTAGCGATTGAAGTCCTCACGCAGCCACTCAAATACTTCATCAGGATCATGGTTATGAAGGACACACTGGTCTAGATAGGGGCAGTGTCCACCTTCGTATGTTTCTACGTAGTGAGCATTAAGCGGCACTTCCCATACACCTGAACAAAAGCTCTGTACATTACTGCATCCAGAACATAATTTCATAATGACTTAAGTTGAAGAATCTGAATGTAACCTGTTATAACCTATCATAAAAATTTGTAAAAGCATCACCAGTGGTGTAAGGTTCTCAGTAGTGAGAATTTGGACATTTTATTACTGCCTTACTAATATTAGATATGTTTATAAATATGTAAGTATACAAATTTCACTGTCTTGATGGCCTTTTTGAGAGAATGAAAATACTAAATTGACCCGGAAGTTAGAATAAGGCAAGGACAGAGCCTAAATGCTGTTACTCTATGCAGATAATCAAATTCTAATACAGGCCAGTCAGGATAAGTCAGTGTTTAATTTATAATTTGCACTGTATATGTAACATGTATAATTTGAATGTTTCAACCAAGAAGGCAAAAAGTTGTGGTTCTATTCGTTCAGAATCCTAGAAAGAAATATACAGTATTATTTCAGACACCTCTCTTTAAAATATTACAAAACTTGACAGTTCATTACTGCTACTGAAAAAACCTACATTCACACCCCATTCTGTTCCAGTTCTCACAAGGCCTATAACAGCATCCTGGCCTGTCTAATATTGTTTGCATAAAAATAATTTATATTAAAAAATGAGTGGAAAGAAACAGGATTTTAGAATGTGGACTGGGTCTGCTCAGGATAGAACCCAGTCTCAGGCTCTTGTGAACACAGTAATGAAGCCTTGAGTTCAGTAAAAAGTGGGGAAATTTGACTTGTTTAGTGATTGTTAGTTTCTAAAAAGAAGAACTCTGTTTCACAGAGCAAATGTAAAGGTGCTTACTTGTTATATGTTGAATATTTAACAATTTGTAATGTGTAGCTTAACTGGATAATAATTTTTTACACTGTTGTGCTCTTTTGATAACATATTGAGTCTGGCCCTTCCTGTTCAGCATGTGGACTCTGGCCCAGTAACTATCAGATTACATAATTATGGTGTAGCTCATTTCTCTTTACTGTATTTTGTTATATTCATCAGACTGTGTGTGCTATTGTTTTCTTTTGTGCTTCAAGTTGACAGTAGCAGTAACAGATCTAAAACACATTATTTTTTTTTAAGCTTGTATGCCTATAGTGCTTTCCTAGGCTGACCTGTGTTGGTCTACTTTTCAATTTTACACAGTTCATTCCATTTGGGTTAATTTACCTAACAGCAGATGAAATTATGAAGTTTGAGTATTGGGTGTCCTAGATGAGATTTTGTGCAGTTTTGTTTGGTTTCACCAACCAGATACAAGAATGGTACCTTTGAATAAACCACAGTCCCTTTCTCCTCCTTCCCTTTCATCATTTCACCATATCTCAGTTGGTGCCACATAACCTCAGTACTACTATATCACAATAAAATAACTAAGTACAAGCACTAATGGCCGCGCCATAGCTCAAGTGGTTAGTCGCTGGCTTCCCACCGCGGCAGCCCGGGTTCGATCCCGGGTCTGGTCAAGAGGGATTTGTGGTGGACAAAGTGGCGCTGGGGCAGGTTTTCTCCGAGTACTTCGGTTTCCCCTGCCGATCTCCATTCCACCAATTGCTCCACAATCACCCTCACTTACCATCTGAGGCTGGTAGAATAGGCCAGAAGTGGCCACAGTACAAGGGACTTAGTCCCACCCCACTAGCAACAAAAAAAAAAAGTACAATCACTGAAAGTTCATTGTTGGAACAGTCCCATCAGAAATATTTTATTTAGATCCTTTGTTGGAGTTCCTATGGTGTGGATTTTTGCTTTGTTTTATCATCTTTGGGAAACTGTGAACAATGTTGTGTACTGCTTCTGCCATCTTTTAGCAACATATTGAACTCTGTAATCTATGTGACCATTGTCAAAGAGAGTATTTTTTGTCACACTTTTGTAAAAAAAAAAAAATAAATCAGCTGTGCACAAAGGTATGTGTGAATTTATTTGAGGAGTCAGGCTTAAATACTTGGAAAGAGACTATGAAACTCAAAGACATAGTTACTGGGGAATACCTGGGAAAGAACGAGAGGGGCATGTGCCTGACCGACACTCGTGTGGTATCTTGTAGTCCAGTGTGTAAGGCCAGATTGGGACCTTCAGTGGTGGTATTCCAACTGAACTGTCATAGATGTAGCCAAAGTCTTCCAGTACCTGTTGATAAACAAGATCATAAGCTATGTACATACTCAGGTAGACTTGAAAGGATTCTGACGATGGTGTATACTGTACTTCTTTTGGCTTATTTTGGACTTCACCCATCGTCTGGTATGTAAAAGACAAAAGACCATGACGTTTTGGAGACTGGATCTGTCTCCGTCGGTTGTTCATATGTTGTTTTTTTACAGACCGGGGTTTGTCCAGTGATTGAGACTAGCTCTTTCTAATGGGCCCAACTGAGTAGGTTTATCCTTCCCTATCCACCTGAAGACAGAGACAGATCCAGTCTCCGAAACATCGTGGTCTTTTGTCTTTTACTTACCAGACGATGGGTGAAGTCCAAAATAAGCTAAAGTACATACTGTTAGTTCCTCGGAACTCTAGCCGTGGTAGAGGGGTCATACCATCTCTCGTGGAGCTGGTTGAGCAGTCTTATCAGCTTACGTCAGCGTGCGTACTACCAGTTTGGAAGGTAGCGTCTTGGAGTATGGTCAGGTGTATAGTACTACTCCTGGTCTCCGTAGGCAATGTTTTCCGCTCGGGGAGTAGCTATGAACGTCACCACAGCAAGTGTACAGCTTCGCATGCTCCCCAACAGCATTTACCTTTCCATGTGGCTAAAGTTACGAGGCACTAACTTTACAGCGACTTACTATCATGAAACCTATCAATGTTGGGCATTCAAACATGGCCAACTTGCAGAAAATTTACAGTTTTTGTGGTTATAGCAATTAGACATTAACTTCTATATTGTGTTACTTTTGCCACAGTGTTAAGCATTATGAAGTAGTTTTTATTTATTTATTAATATAAAATCAGCGAATCTGACCCATGCAATGTCTACAGGTGAAGTTTCATGTAATTATACCTCATACTGGGTGTTGCGTCCAGGTTTAAGGTATGGCGCTCTCATGCCAACAATGTCACTCTTTGAAATGTTGGCAAACTGCCTGAGAATCTCGCGCATTCCAATCATTTCTCCTACCCATTCTTCATACCCCTTGTCTTGTAAACCTTGCTGCAATCTTAAATGAAAGTACATTTTTATTAGGCTAATTACTGCATATTTAGTGGAAATCTTAAAAATTACGTCCCTGTTATTACAGTAGTAAGACATATATCAGCATGTTCACTATTGATGCAGAATTGTCGTCAGTGTTCAGGTTAACTTGTATAAGAATTGAGATATTAGCATCTGCTGCAGTGGAACCTGCTTGATTTTTCTGCCATAGAACCGTTGTACCTGCTAGAAATGTCAAGATGCTTGGGAGCAAATTCAGTTGTACCAAAATAACAATTCTTGCTCACATTTCCTTCAGACATTCACAGGTTTAGATAAAGTGAAAGCCTGTTCTTTCTTGTTATAACGCTTTATGCCATCCAACATGACCTTAGTCCAAAACATTGGTAATCTACTGGACCACTTTGTGTCACAGTCCAGAACACACCAATCTTATTCTTTGACTTTTAATAATGCCAGTAGACTGATGTGAATCAAATTCAGATCTCTTCAGAAATGGAAATTCACTAGAGCAAAATTATATCATACAGAAATGTGGATATGCTGAAGGTAATGGAAATTATATAATTTTGGTGACATACTTAAAAAGTAGAATTTTTGTTTGCTTATATTTATGAAAGTTATCTATATTAATTTTTAATATTTTTTCATATTAAGTCAGAACATTTGGCATTCAAAATGTGCAGAATAAATTGTGTAGTAATAGTAAAGGTGTATGTGTGCTTAATTAGTTCAGCACTGTGTCATGAAGACATGGAGAATTGGAGGTATAGCTCCACATTACTGGTTATCTTAATGGTATAGAAAACTTCCTGAATTATGGAATTATTGTGGCCCCTTCATAGTGCATTATGGATTGTGTGTATTGTATCACTGCGGCAAGATGACAAGAAAGGTGCAAGACTGAGAGTTTGTTGATATGAGGAAAATGATTTTTCACTTACGAGATTGTTTCTGTTGCGATCTCATGCCCAGCATGTGCTAACTGTTGGATCATATTGTAGTTGCTGTATTCATGAGACACAAAGAAGGTGCCTCTTATTGGACAACCATTGGAATTCTTCCGGTCTTGTGTGAAAACTCGTTGGTAATGATCAAAATTGTTGAGATTTACAGCACCATCAAATGTCATCATTATAATCTGAGGAGTCTGGAATGAAATGAATTTCATAATAATGTTCATGTACATAGCATTATGAAGAGTGAGGCTTAGTGACAGTGTGACTTGTTTGAAACCCCTCACCATTTAGCCCTTTCTCATCACATAACCATTATTTTTTTAACCCAAGATGAGAAGATTTTTGTTCATTCAGTCTACCTTCTTAGCAGTCATTCTCATAAACATACATTCCAATGAGAAGGTGATGTCATAAATTGGGTTCAAGGCTCTTTTTATGCAGTGACAAGTTGGACGTAAAAGAAGTCACTGACTGATGACATAGATCACCAGTATTTTAATTTGACTGTAATTCATATAACTAATCATCAGTTATCTGAATTTATTTTGATTGTACCTGAATTAAGAACATGTCTTGCTACTTACATCTTCTGGGTTAAGATCACCAGGAATGTGGGTGCCATCTCGGGAACAGAAGCAGTAAGGTAGAACACAGGCACTTGTGTCACATTTCTTGGCGAGGTCGGCAGGTGGCTCCGTGATTGGAGCAGGGGCTGTAACACAATGAGAGTTTTCAGTTTCAGTATAAATTTAGACATCATAGAAAATGAACAACTATAAAAGCAGCCATTTATCCAAAGACGTATTTACCGCACATTGATATAGAAAACAGATTATAATTAACCTTGTTATTACTTCACATGTGTATTGCATTTATATGCACAGGACTATTTATTGGTTTGTATAAGACCATCATTGCATTTACATATTCTTTGAAACTCAAGTAACTTTAATGTGCGTGGTTCTTATACGGCAAAATAATTCAACATATCTATATATATATATATATATATATGGAATATAAAATATTTCATGGTACAGAACTTTATATTTCAGTGGTAAAAATGTCACAGGTTTGGATGAGATATTCATAATCATTTATATTTTTAAACAGAAATTTTATGTTAGAATTTTTAACCCATACATGTATTGAAAAAAAAATTAGCAGATGAATAATTGTTCGAGGTTTGGAGTTTGAGTGTCTTAATCATTTAATTTCACTGAAAAGCTTTGGGAAAAGAGCAAGTGTTTACGTCATTAAGTGTAAAAGCAGGCAGAGTATATGGTTTACAATATATTTGTTGATTATTACTGTAATAGAATGATGATGGTCAGATATGATCACCAGACAAAACCACATGGAGAAGCGTATCTTCTGAAATATAATGCCATGCAGTCTGTTGAAATTCAACCAACGTTTTGAATGATCATGTTGCCTCCATCTTCAGGGTCGAAAAATAAGCCAAGCATGCAAGTAGCCAGGATGAAGAATGTTGTTCTGCTTGCTGCCTGCTTTGTTGGATTATTATTCGGCCCTGAGGATGGAGGCAACACATTGTTCTGAAACACTGGTAAACTTCTACCAGCTTACACTGCGTCACATTCTAGAAGATGGTATTCTTCATCGTTGCCAATATCAGAGCCTCAAATTCAAAGTGTGCGACACTTACTTGTGGAGATGGGACCACACCGTGCCTCATTTTTGAAGGTACACAGCTTGTTGATATCATCGAAGTAGAGACCAGAAGGGCATCTGTTGAGGTATGGGTATCCATCCACACACTGCAATGCAGACAGTAAGGAAATGGTAATGTGGACAGGGCTGTGTTTAGCAGACTTGATTGGAGGCAACTGGAAGAGCTTAACACATGTTTATTAAACCCTTTAAGAAACAACATAAATAAGAATAAATGTTAAAATGTTAAACCTGCTATGTATCACAGTTTGTCACTGTATGTAGACTAAACTACTACTATAAGAAATTAGAAGCTAGTATTGTATTTCAGCAGCCTGTTGCATGGATGTATCGCACACTTATTTCTGTCTTTAATGCGGCCTTGTTTACAATTTCTTCTGCAGTTCCTCGTGTGGAGGCAGGTTTGAATACCTCCACCATATCCCTGTGAGTGGTAGGAGGCGACAAGAGGGGAATCCAGTGCCTGAGGGTAGAACTGTTCTACCCTGTTTGTGGTCCATATAATTACAGGGACCTGACCCTCCAGATTGGGGGAGTCTCAAATCTGAGACTGTAAAATATGGTCGTGAGTCCTGCAGGACTTGGACCTGAGAATGACTGCACTGGCAAGTGCCAGCAGCAATTGTAAATGACAGACTCATGCTCTCATCAAAGAGGATGTTATGTAAGGACTATGACCACAAGTGTTCAGTTGGAAAAAAACTACTGGTTGTGGGTCCCAAGGGGCTTGAAGCCAAGACGAAATGATTGGCGGTAAACCGCCAGTCCTAAAATAACTCTGACTCTGACTGACATGGGTTTTCCATTGATTGAGGTTAGCTCTTTTTAAGGGAACAGAATAGGTGTCCCCCCCCTCACCTGAAGACGGAAACAGATCCAGTTTCCAAAACGCTGTGTGTTATGTTTTTTAGAATACCAGAAAATGGACAAAGTCCAACATCCCAGTAATTCTGAATGTTATATACCAGCATCAGAACCTGTTAGAATTTACTTTAAGTTCGCTTATCCATGATCTTTAACTCCACCTGATAAAACCTCCTACATGTTGCAGGATCAGCAAAATTTCCATTTCCAGCACCTTCTGGGCAAATAAATTCTTTCTCGTCAGGTTTCTTCTGTTGGCTTCCAACTGCAAATAAAGAGAGAAATATTTTAGAAATTTCAACATACTGAAAGGGCTGAAAATATGGGCTGCAGTAATTTACTGCTTGTTACAATTTTTTAACATCCCTTTTAACAAGATTTCATTACTTTATGTTGGTAATTAATGTGTAGGAATCTTCCGGCAGGACACTGCATCAGATCCAGTCTGTATCTTTACCTGGAGTTAGTAACAAATACATGAAGTTCTGAATATTTATGTTTCATGTTAAGGTGTATCCTGAATTGTCCACTGTGAACTAAAACTGAATTTTGTTGCAAATTTTTCAAACCAAAGAAAATGTTCTCAGAAACTGTCCATCTTTGTAATCACTTTAAACCATTATGACTGTGGCAAGTATTTTATTTGTGTGTTTCCAAATTAAAGATGAAATGCAAGCCACCTGGAACTGAGAATGTAGATGACCATTGAAGATATTTTTAAAGATCTGAGATTGGAATGGGTCAACAAATGATCCGACTTGTTGACAACTTTGATGATTATGATGGTGATGGTGATTATTATTTAAATTTGTGATTATATCGCATCGAATGGTAGGATGACTGATGAATAATGAATTGGAAATAATTTGTAAGGAAACAGTTGTGAACTAATAAAGGTACAGCCTTAGCATTTACCGAGAGGGACTGAGGAATACCATGTAAAATGTCAGGATAGCCAGTGTCAAGCTGAGCAACTCCCAAATAAAAGTTCAGAATGTTACCATTACATAAACCTATTTGGTTTGTTGAAAGATGACAAACATGGTCCACATCTGAACTCTTAGTTATGGTATGTCTGGTGTCTTAACATGCAGTGGAAATTATGTCAGAATTATATCATGACTTTGTACAATTACTTATTTTATATTTTTCCCCGACTTCTGATTACAGATGGAAGCATTTGAAGAAAAGGAGTTCTTTGTTTAACTTGATGAATTTTTGTTACACCCATCACTCCATAAAAATGTTGTTGTGGGTTTAAATGGGATACTTGAAAGCAGACGAGAAATTAATTGAAGGGAACATCCTTTAGTGCGTATGCAATAATGGAACTTCTGTGTTTGTGCCTGGAGACTACATGCATTCACTGCATAAGATTGCGGTTTTAGGGGATGTCAGTCGACTATAGTAGTGGGCCCCTTTCCCATCGAAGAGGAAGCCCCAGTTCGAAACACATATGTAGTCTTTGAAGGAACAAAAATATGGTCGTAAGTCCCAACGAGTCCCGAAACCAAAAATGACTGTGCTGGCAAGACCAGCAGCAAATTATGCTTCACTCTGCTCTCTACAATAGAGATTCAAATTATCTTTTGTCTTAAGGCACCGTGCAGTGTGCTAGCTGGGCGCCAACGTTTCGGAGGAAAGTCTTGCCTCCATGTTGATAGTAGAAGATCGAAGCTGAGGTATGTTATGGCCACTATAGACAACCAGCACGCACTGCGCCCTTCTACAAGAGGCCCTGCCTTCTTGCTTGATGCTATGAACAGTCAATAACGGTACAGCTGACGACCTTGCCAAGAGCTACAGTTCTGTATGCGAGGAAGATATTGACACTGTGTGCCGCTCTGTATTCCACTACAAAATTCTGGATAAGTGATTTGGCGAATACATTCAGAGAAACCGGATTTACTCAGTAATAAGACCAGTTCGCATTCAGGACCTCAGAGTCTGATTAGTGGTCAGAGTTCCAGGCTACAGATCAAGAAACTACCAGATTTTCTGAGAAGTGGTGGGTCTGGAACGGGGTCCACTCAGCCTCGTGAGGATAACTGAGAAGCTACTTGAATGGAAAAGTAGCGGCTCCGGTCTAGAAAACCGAAATTAACGGATTATGGGATTCGTTGCGCTGACCACGCGACACCCTCTGTCCGCTAAAGTTGGCACTAACTTCGCCAACAAGCGGCGGTCGCCCGGTCGGTATAGTTCGCTTGCGGACTAAAGCCACGTAGTTTGTTTTTTACCAAAAAATTTTTTGGTTAATCAACTCTCTGATGCTAGGGCGCCTTATAAAGAAAACATCAGACGAAAGTCTCCTGATCCGTGTAAGTCATTTCGATACAGTCAAGGCTAATTCAATGAAACTCCTTAAAATCTTTTTCAATAGGGTTCCCATTGTCTTAATCACTTATAGGTTACAATGTTTTAGGCGAGTACTCTGGAAATGAATATATATAGTATAAATGACAAATTCCTCGTATAATCTAGTAGAATTTTACCGACGTTTTGCAGGAACTTAGTGCCTCCGTCTCTTGGCTTCTGACTGGTTACTTGCTTGACTTACATTTCGACCCTGAAGGTGGAGGCAGTATGTTCCTCCGAAATGTCTGTAAACTTCTAGAAGACTGCGTGGCGTCACATTCTTCACAGGCACCACAGAGAGAACCTCAAATATAACTTTTTAAGTATTTTCCCCTGACAATTTCTGTACTCCCCTTTTGGTTCACATGGTCTTATAATTTTTAAATTATGTGTAATATTAATAATGATAATAATAGTAACACTAATAATAATAATTAAAGGTAAAAGGTAACGTCCCTGTGCTTAGTTAATTAACCACAACGCCATGAAGACGTATGGTGGAGTGAGGTATAGATCCACCATTCTTGACCTGGGCATTAGATGGAGGTGAGTGGTCAGCTTCACTCTCCGACCACTTTATTCCCATGGAAAGAGCCCCGGTGCCCATTGGGTAGGAGGCTGGTTGAGCCCCAGATTCAATATGGACGTTTTGGAGTAGAGAGATAGAGATACCTCTTCCCCCTGCCGGAAATCAAACCCCGACCTTCAAGCACATAGCTCATCGTCACACTAACGGAGATACCCCTGCTGCAGTATAACAATAATTTGACGATATTCAAAGCAAATTTATGGCGACTAACCGTGGGATGGTTCGGACCAAGACTGGTTTCGTGGTACCGGCTTCTAGTGCTGATCCTCGGAGCAATAAAGGATCAATACAAGCAATCAAGAATTCGGAGAAGACACCTTGTCTAGACAACAAGTTGATTTGCCCCTCTGCAGTGAGATATTAAGATATAAAGTAGGATGAACACTTTCTACAGCAACCTCAATGCAGCGGGAATTGCGACTTTGCACGCGCCAGAAAGTGACACTCCTGGGCCATGAGAGCTTTCATCTTCCCGTACCTTACAGTTATTCGATCTGACTAGGCTACGCCTCTAACAGAAATGAGTACCAGGAATTAAATAATTTTCCTGTGGAGTAAAGCGCGGCCGGCGCGTAAGGCTGACAACCTTACCGCCATCTTTGAGCCGATTGTCTAGATAATGTGGGACCCTCAACGTCTCACAACCCTATGGGCATTCACGGCCTGACCAATTTGGCTGTTTTACAGACTTTTTTACTAGGCTACGCCTTTTAGCCTGATAGATGTTTACTGACGTTTCGGGAGAAATCACTGCCTCCATTTTCGTCGAGTAGTAAGCTAAACGAGCAACAAACAGAGCTATGCTTGCTAGTTGCTTGCTTCGCTTATTCTCGACCTTGAAGATAGAGGTAGTACGCTCCTCCGAAACGTCTGCAAACTGCTATCATACTGCACGGAGTCATATTCCAGAAGACAACACTCTATCATAACTCTCGGTGTTTTTTTTTTTACCAATTTGGCTGTTTTACAGAACTGTAATCAGACCAAGAAAACCTGAAGGGAAGAGACCACTTCGGAGACCTAAATATGGATGGAAGAACCTATATAGTTACTTTCAGTGAGTGACAGATGGCATTAGTCGTCATGACACACGTACAACGGGAAATTAAGTGAAAGATGAAGTTTATGTAACAAATGAAGAGATTTTCCATAGAATTTTCAACGGCCGTTACACTGATAATATTAAAATGAATCTTATGGAAATATGGTGCTAGTGTGTATATCGGATTCATAGAGGCTTTTGTCGGTATAGAGATCAGCGTTACAGTTTAGTAAGAAGTGGAGAATATTTTGACGAGCTAAGTAACTGTTAGTTTCTGAAGACGGATCCCGTTTCATGGAGTTAGTTTAACGCTGTATCGACTGAAGTTATCATTTTTATGAGTAGTGAATGGCAGAAATTTTATGAAAGACACGGCATTGAATTATATTTAACAATAGCAAAAAGCCCGTGTATACATAGATCTAGCCTATTGTCCAGCGACTCCGAAACTGTTCTCCAAGGGAACACTAGTGTTCCGTGAGCTGAGCCGGAGTGTTCCACTACTGGAAGAGAGTAATGGCGGTTTTTTTTTAAAAAATCGGAAAAATGAAGTTAATGATAGCATTTTCCCAGTCTCGCTTATTTTTCTGAATTTCTTATACAAATTGCATTTTACATTGTGACGTATATACCCATTGCTAGGCAACGACTCGGTAAACACATTCCCGCGAAGCGTTTGCATGAAACAGAAGGACGTCTTTTGCAAGGTAACGGACAAGTAAGCATGCCTCATTAAAAATGAAGGCTGTGTTTTCTGTGTTGTCCGAGCCGATGCTTTAGAAAGGACACAGTCAGAAGACGGGACGGAGTAGTAGAAGCAGGGTAGTCGGGTCGGAAGTGAAGGGTCGAGATTCGAGACGTCAGCATGGCGGGATATGAGCTTGGGAGCAGAGAAATTGAATTGAGTCGAATTTTCGGAATTGGCAGTCGCAGAATAAGGGCAAGAAAGGAATTAGTCGTGCAAAGAAGATTTAATATGTGATTTAAAGTACAATTAGACTGTGATAAATCCGTTGCCTAGTGAAAACTAGTGTTTTCACTAGAACTAGAATTCTAGTGCGTGTGTAACGGTGAACTCTAAAGTGTGTAAATCAGCGCTGGAGGAGCTATTTCAAGGAAATAGCGGCTTCGGTCTCGAAACCCGAAATTAACGGCCGTGGGAATTCGTTACGCTGACCACGCGACACCCTCTATCCGCTAAAGTTGGCATTAATTTCGCCGACAAGCGGCGGTCGTTCGGTCGGTATAGTTCACTTGCGGAGTCAAGCCACGGAGTTTTATATTTTCATCATCATTATCTAACTGAATTGTTATATTGTCTAAATGATGCAAGTTGCCTTGTTTCGTCTTTTGTTTGTGTATGTGGTTTGTTTCCGTTTCTTGCTCGTTCCTACATTATACCTGACCTTTAGGCTATTGATTAAGCATACAAATAAACTATTATTATTAATTGTTAAGATATGCAGGCCATGATAAAATATGACAATATTTGCCACTCCTAATAATGTTCATAGTTGACATAAAATAATCAGTTGTCCAAGATGTTTCTCAGAGAGCAACATGTTGTCCTGGAGCTCCATAAACTGCAGAAGTTCGGAAACCACTGATCTAGTAAAATTCCGAATTTTCCAATTTTGTTACGTCATCAATTCGAAAATTAAATTAAAATATTCACGCAATAGGCATGTCTATATTTATAAATAGTTCACAAGGATAATCATACAGAATTACTGTTTTTTTTTTACTTTTACCTTCGTCAGGAATTCTAGGAAATAGAAAGCACGACGTTTCGGAAACTGGTTCTGTTTCCGTCTTCAGTTGAGGAAGGAAGAAACCTACTCAGTTGGGCCCCTTAGAAAGATCTAATCTCAATCACTGGACTAATCATACTACACGCGTTACATGCTTGACAAATCTTTTGTCATAAAACATGCCATGATTGGCTAGTATCATCATACTGTTACTGATGGCATGAAACACAAAAGTTGGAGGATAGACGGCATGATATCAAGTTTTATTTAAATCAGTCAGTTTTCTTTCCTTTCCGGAACCGGAAATCATTCACGAACAAAGAACAGATCACGACGACAGTATAGGGCCCGCTTTCCTTTCGAAATTCTGAAAGTAGACTCAAATTGAGTCAAAATTATAGACTGAAATGCTTTTCGGTTGGTAGAGAAATTTAAGGGGCGATTAGGAATATTCGGGGAATTTTTAAGCTTGTTTAGGATATTTCTTATCATATATCAGACAACCCTGATTTATGTCTATCGCTTTTAGAACGTATTCAGACAGTGACGGTGAGAAAAGACTTGTGTGTGCTGTGAAATGAATCCTTTGCGCGTGCCTGTATTCTGTGGATGTCCTTGTTATATCAATCTACAAAACTAGGCTAAATTTGAAACTGTGTGTATGCTAGCTGAACGCACGTAATGCAGTTTAATAGCACAGGTAAGTAACCACACGTATATAATTTCTTCTTGGGAGAAGAGTTTCATGCCCCGAAATTTTTTATTTTCTGTTAATGATTATGATAATCCATTGTACCCAGCTTTGCGATTGCATTAGAGAGCTTGCAATGTTTAATTTTTCTTTATAATTACTGGCCTATTTGATTTTTAGCCTGCGTTTTGTTTCTAAAGGAAATAAAGTAGATTTACTGTGTAAGATGACCCCCATAAACATACTGGCTCAACCAGTATCGCTTCTAACTTATTTCCGTGAGGTTTCCTGTTCGAATTTTAGCCGGGACTCTGGCTTTCATGGATTAGAGGTTTAAAGTTTCTGCTCAGACCCTCTAAGTGAATTCTGGCATACCACCTTGAAACAGGCCACGAACTTGTGCTTCCACATTAATTTCAATTTATCATTAATTGATTATCCGACCATTCGACGTTATATTATTAGGCTGTCATAATTTGGGGCACGCGGTAGCGTAGTTGGTTGAGGCATTATGCTACAAGCCGGAAGGTCGCGGGATCGAATCCCGACGAGGTGCACTTTTCAATTTATCTAATCCTTTTAGCTGCACTAAGGTCCTGGGGTCGACTCAGCCTCTAACAGAAATGAGTACCAGGAATCTTCCTGGGGGTAAAGGACGCCAGGCGCATAAGACTGACAACCTCACCGCCATCTGTGAGCCGACTGTCTAGAAAATGTGAGAGCCTCAACATCTCACAACCCTGTGGGCGTCCACGGGCTGTTACAGGGATATACTTACTTACTTACTTACTTACTTACTGTCATCATTTACCTCATCAGGAATAAATGGAAATGACCTGCTTTCATGTACCCCTATTTTCAAAATGTGAACCAGTTGACCGAATTTCACGAAACGTGGTATGAATATTACGTCATTCGAGGTCACAGAGTTTTATATCTTGCTAAGATGCGCTTTCTGTTACATTTCTTTGGCACATTTGAGAGAAACGGCTCGAGTGAACAGGAGTGTGGCATACTTAACATTGAAGTTCTTGTTATTAGTAGGCTAATGCTTAGGAGGCTCGTCTTATCGGACCGGAATGCAACACACGGTGGTAGTTCACGTGTGGGAGGGGGGAGTCGTGTCCCCCTGACCTCTTGGAAACCAGGTCTGTGTTAGTTTCTTATTTTGTTTAACTACGCACTGTTTTGCTGCCGAACTGAACCGAGAAACTGTTCAGATTACATTCCTTTCAATCCAGAAATCAACACCACTAAACCATGAAGGCGTATGGGGGAATTGATGTAGAGATCCACGTTTTTTGGCCTCGCGATTAGTTGGAGGTGAGTTTTTTTTAAGTTAGTTTATTATTTAACACACTAGAATACATTTCGTTAAATTTCAACGTAAAAATTATTGGAAAAAAAAACCCCACGAAGAATACGTAATTTGAAGAACTTGCAAAGTTTTGAAAACACTACGTTTATATTTAAATACCAAACTCGACGGAATGACAGTGCGCACTAGATTCTGCTCCCATCTGGAGGAATAATTTTGACGAATCAGGATGCACGACTACAGCCTATCTTCCGCTGTTGCCATATAACGACAGAAGAGTTGGCCTTTTATATAAGGCCACGTCATAGCTCAAGCGGTTAGTCGCTGACTTCCCACCGCGGCGGCCCGGGTTCGATCCCAGGTCTGGTCAAGTGCGATTTGTGGTGGACAAAGTGGCGCTGGGGCAGGTTTTCTCCGAGTACTTCGGTTTCCCCTGCCAATCTTCATTCCACCAATTGCTCCACAATCACCCTCACCTATCATCTGGGGCTGGTACAATAGGCCAGAAGTGGCCGCAGTACAAGGGACTTAGTCCCACCCCACTAGCAATAAAAGCAATTAGCCTTTTATATACGAGTATGTATGCGCTATCTGCACGATATTGACACCAATGTTCGTTAGGTCATACGCCATTTAACGACATGCGCACAACGCATTATTATTTGTTGCGCAGTCCTGTGTACGCTTTGTAGTGGGCTGACATCTGCCATTGTTTCAGACTTAATTTAGAACTAGAATAGAACAGAGGCCATAATCTCTGGGACAACAAACAAACAACAAACTCCGTGGCTTTAGTCAGCAAACGAACTATACTGACCGAGCGACCTCCTCTTGTCGGCGAAGTTAGTGCTAACTTTAGCGGATAGAGTGCGTCACGTGGTCAGCGCAACGAATCCCCACGGCCGTTATTCTCGGTTTTCTAGACCGGAGTCGCTATTTCCTTGAAATAGCTCCTCAGTTATCCTCGCGAGGCTGAGTGGACCCCGTTCCAGACCCACTACTCAGAAAATCTGGTAGCACCGAGAATCGAACTCGGGGCCTCTTGATCTGTAGCCAGGAACTCTGACCGTTAGACCACAGAGGCAGTCATAATCTTTGCAATGTGAAGGATAGTAAGAATTACGGCCAAAATACACTTTCTACATCATTCTACAAACGTGTTCTTTTACATAATTTCGAAGCTTTCTATTCCTTCTTCGAGTTTTTACTAAATAACAGCATGTCCCCCCAGCTGCATGCACGTTAATACTGAACACGCTGAGATAACCGCTTGGAGAGTAAATGTGGCCTAATTATAAAAAAATGATAATGTTACGACTGAGTGAAATAATTTGGTTTCATACCAGAGTCGGGATAGCCCAATCCATATAGAGACGACCCGGGTTCGATTTTCGGCACAGCTCTTCACAGCTTCCAGACCGGCTCTGGCGCCCACCCAGCCTCCTATCCAACAGGAACCGGGGGCATTTCCCCCGGGGTTATAGAGACAGGGATATGAAGCTGACCACTCACCTCTATCTAGTGCCGAGGTCAAGAATGGTCGAGCTATATCTCCACTCCCCCACATGTCTTCATGCCATAGTGCTTAATTAAGCAACAGGGACAATTTTATATTTATTTACCGGTAGTTGATTAATCATTATAGTTTCATTATACTTTTTATGTTCGTTGCAAATACTATTACTACTAGTAGCAGTAGTAGTAGCCGTGCGGTCTAAGACATGAACTGTCTTCGCTCGCTTGAATGCTGGAATCGTGGGTTCGAATCGCACTCAAAGCATGGTTGTCTGTGGGTCTTTATTCTGTGTTTATGTTGTTCTATGCGTAGGTAGCGGCCTTGCGATGGGTTGATCCCCCGTCCAAGAAGTCCTACCGACTTTGTATAGGATCAAGAGACTGAAATAGCGGCCAAGATCCAAGAAAAGGACTCCAGAGCCATAGATATCAGTAGCATGAGTGGTGGTAGCGCGGGTGATGAATTCCTTAAGATTTCGCCTTTCTGAACGTTGGCAGGAAATGCAAATAAACACTACTTTCTATTTATTTTGTACAACAATAGACGTTTGTTTTCAGAAAGTTTTTTTCCAACTGTTTTTCTGTTCTCTCACCCATGTACTTCATAGAGGTATTTCACAATATAGACATAGGAATAAGTCCCTAGCACAGATCCTAATATTCGTACAATTTTCGCACTTATCAGAACATACGCTGCTTCTTCGTGTACATATTGCGGTTTGGACAAAGCACTTATCGCAAGAAGCTAACTAAATTCTGCTAACAGAACCCGAAACACGCCGTTAAATGCTGATAAGAACTCCAATAAGAAAAGTAAAACAAAAGTCGCCATTTGACTGTTCTGTGCCATTTCAAAACAACAATGGAAATGGAGTCCATTCGATTAATCGATTTTGTTTATACGTGTATTTCAGATCTTTCCATCGGCGGTAATGCAGTTGATGTAGACAATGATGTGATATGACATTTCAGAATGTGTAATCTAACTGAATGCTGCCGAAGGGAAAGGAAATAAAGATTACTGAGCTATGTGGGGCAAGTGACATGGATGAATGAACCAATAAACACATATAAATATTAAGATTCGGAAAGAATAGGCACATAGGGGAGGAAGTTGTGAGAATCTGAACTTGACTGAACTGACATAATGTTATTATGGTAATAAACTTTCCGTTTGCATATTTATGGAATATTTGTACTTCGGAGAAGTAATTTGGTGTAATTTTGTTAGTAAGACGATGGACAACTCTGCATTGCCATAGTTTTCCTGATGTATTTTTTTAATTCGCATAGTGGGGGGCGGTAGATTCCAGCTGAGTCCACTCGGCACGTCGGCCACTGATTGGCCTATTGTACCTGCCCCAGATGATTATGATGATGGAGCAGTCGATGGAATAAAGATTGGCAGGGGAAACCGAAGTACTCAGAGAAAACCTGCCCCAGCGACTCTTTGTCCACCACAAATCCCACATGACCAGAAGCTGGCTCGAACCCGGGCCGCCGCAGTGGGAAGCCAGTGACCAACCGCTTGAGCTATGTCGCGGCCTCTCTGGGAAGTTATTACATTCTGGATTTGCATTTCTCACAGCAGTGACTATGAGGATACTGCAAATTGTATCACCGTGTTGTTCGGAGAAATTGAAATGTTTCGGAGGGATATATAGCCTTCATCTTCAGAGCTGAAGAATAAGTCAAACAAAAAACCAGCAGAAGACGGCAACAGAGGCAGCTTGTCACTTACTTCTGCTGGAGGTGATACGATCCTCCGAAACGTCGTACTTTTTGCGAACTACATTTCATTACGACCCAGAAAGCATTGCTCCTCTTACAAGAGTATTTTCTTTTTCCGACGTAGAATGGAATTCAGAACTAATATATCGGACTTGTAGCTGAACAAATAGGAGTTTTCTTATGTAAGGTTGTCAATTCAAGGCATGACGTACCCTCAAGATATTTTAGAGGAAGATTAGATCACTTCGTAAATTTCGTAAGATTCGTAGTAAATTTTCGTTAATGTGTTCTACAAAGGACACCATACACTGCTCATATTGTCAGATTCTAGATCTCCCTGAAATGCATGGGTTGATGACCCCTACTTTACTGGTAATATTGTGCTGCAGCAAAAGTAAGGTAAAAATTTTTTTATTGTTTTTTGTTACAGCTGCTTCTTTAACTT